AGGCATGATGTTAATAACAATTTCATCGCTAATTTAAGTATATTTTTATATTTTGTATCTATTTAGTTTGAATAAAACCTTTCTTAATGCTAATTCTGTATAATTCGTACGCAAAAAACCGTGGTCCTTTACAACATCGCCTCCTAGCGGCCGTTTTAGGAACCCTGTTTTATCCTCAAATAACGGGACACTTTTTTGACCTATGTTTCCAAACCTTAGAAATATAGGACCGTGATTAGATTACACTTGGTACATTCAATTACAATGCATTTATTGTAGTTGTTATACTGAAATAGGTTATTTTCTCATTATCAGTGTTGTAAACGACTTTACTTGATTAATTAAGCGACGAATTACGATTGCATTGTTTGTCAAGTTCAAATTAACAGATTATTAAACTTTAAAGGGCAACTAGTTTCGGTGTATCTACTACGATCATCTTCAAACCTCATTAAGAAACTTAATATATAGGATGTTAATTAATTGAATGCCGATACTTCAGAATGTGAATATTTGGATGATTTTAAAAAGAAGAGTTTATACATATAAATATATCCTAAACCTCTTAGTTTTCGAGCTAAAGGGTGTTAAAATTTTAGAAAAAAAAACTTTTCTATCATAATTTTCTTATTACTCCAGTTATTTTTAAGAAATTTTGTATACATTTTTTAATTATTAAGGGGCATTTTTTGGGGCACAATTTTTTTTTAAATTTTCACCAGTGACATGGGTTTGAACTGAATATGTTTGAAAAAAATGGTACACCACTGCTTTTTCTAAAAACTAAAATTATTTTTAAAATCCTCATTCATTTTGAAGAAAATTCGATCAAAAGACTTATTTTCGTACAACGCACTATTTTCGTGTAAAATAAAAATCAAAACCATTTTTTCCCAAGTTTATTTTGAGACTGCTTTTGATATTTTGTTGAAATTTGATAGGCGCCCACCGTGCATGGAAACACTTTTTTTTGGGGATAAAAATTAATTTTCTACTATTATCAGTGACGTCCACATCGGAAATTTCATAAAAATATCTGCCGTAATAAGAAAATAATGATAGAAAAGTTTTTTTTTCTAACACTGTAACACCCTGTAGCTCGAAAACTAAGAGGTTTTGATATTAACTTTTCTTCTTAAAATTATCCAAATATTCACATCCTGAAGTATCGGCATTCAATTAATTAACACCCTGTATACAGATTGCTCCATTTTTTACTGCAACTTAGACTATGGGTGCGATAAAGACAACTTCAATTAGACACTTATAAAGGAAAAAGAAAGAGTGACATTTGTGTCATTGCAACTTTTCACTCTGACAACTGTTATTTTATTAAACTTTCTTTGTTCAACTCATAGAAATGCCCATATTGCAATCGCAAATGAAGCAAGGTGTATATACAAAAGTACAATTAAGAAATTATGATTTTTGATTGGTTTAGAATACACATTATTTGCAAATGTAATTTTTTCATTAAATTATATAATGAGACATTACTCATCTAGAATCAAAGTCCAATACATAAAGTACAAATCTGATTTACAGCAAAAATTGCATATTGCAAATTCAATTCCGCGTTCATTACGTAACAACAATAGAAAAAAAATTAACCCATAAATAACATTAAAATCCAACTTTAGTGTTAATAAACTTTTAACCTTGATTATCTCAAAACTACAATTTATCGACCTGATCCACTTTAGTTTTGGACACCTCATATCTCAACGTAATAATCGTTGGTAAAACAACGAAATGAAAATTTACGCGAAATACTCGGAATAAAATTCGCCAATTAAACACAAATTATATTTTCAAAACAACTCGACTCATACGCCTTTCAACAACTAACCTATAGAATTACAACAATAAGCTCTCTACTCTAATCGCGCGTTCAATTAGAATGATCCGATGTAAAAATAAAAATAAAACAGAGGTCAGGTTATTATGAAATGCTCCTTATACAGGGTGATTCTATAAAAAAGTGGTCAAATTTTGGGAGCAAGTAGAGAACTTGAAAATATTACAAAAACTTAAATGTTATTTTTTCGAAATGTTCTTGGTTATTAGTATACAGGGTGTTAAAGATGGATTCTTGAAGAGGTATTTTTGTTAATAATTCCATTAATAGTAATGGTAAAATGATGAAATTTGGTACACATACTAAGCAAATTAAAGCCGTTAGGGCACCATACAATCGGGTTAAAAAAGTTGTCCAGGGGTGGGTTAAAATGGGAAGGTCGTGGGGTAATTCTAACCTAACTTTTTTATTTTAACTTTTTCTAATGATTTGTTTAAATAATATGATAAAATGAAGTTTTCTACATAAAAAGGTATACTTGATGATTTGCCGTAAAGTGAACCGTTTATACAAAAAATTACTTTTGAAATTCTGGTGCACGGTAAAATTATTATTATTAAACTATTGTCATCATTAAAAATCAAGTAGTCAAAAATCAAAATCAGAAACTTGACAGTAAGTGACGTTTCTGAGAAACACTTAATCGAGAAAACCATGAATACCAAGTTTTTGACAGAATGTCTTCCTACTTGACTTTTAATGATGACAATAGTTTAATAATAAGAAATTTAATGCACCAGAATTTTAAAAGTAATTTTTGAATAAACGATCCACTTTACGGAAAATCATCAAGTATACCTTTTTATGTAGAAAACTTCATTTTATCATATTATTTAAACAAATCATTAGAAAAGGTTAAAATAAAAAAGTTAGGTTAGAATTACCCCACGACCCTCCCATTTTAACCCACCCCTGGACAACTTTTTTAACCCGATTGCATGGTGCCCTAACGGATTTTATTTGCTTAGTATGTGTACCAAATTTCATCATTTTACCATTACTATTAATGGAATTATTAACAAAAATACCTCTTCAAGAATCCATCTTTAACACCCTGTATACTAATAACCAAGAACATTTCGAAAAAATAACATTTAAGTTTTTGTAATATTTTAAAGTTCTCTACTTGCTCCCAAAGTTTGACCACTTATTTCAGAATCACCCTGTATACGCCCGTTCATCCGGTTCGTTATACCGATACAAGGCGACTCTTTTGCTTTTTACCCGTCGTCAGCCGGCTGAATGAAAGGTAGAAGGTGTTCTATTAGCTTTCGGCTTTTGGCAAAATACGATAAGTAGTGAAATTGTTGTTTTTGTGGTTTGCCCTCGATTACGTTCGAATGGTAAGGATAATGCTTTTTTTGCATTCGTACTACACGAAATTCGTAGCGATGTAAATTTCACAAAAAAAAAATTAAATCACGAACCATTTTAAAGCGACCATTGCGATGAGACGACCGGTGCTATTTTTAGATTTCCTCAACAAACACATCACAAGCCGGTGTGTTATAATGTAATGTAATCTTGTTAGGTTATGTTATTCGTTGTAATTTATGCTGTATTTCAAATCGATGGCACGCTTTGATAAATTAGTTTCGTTATCATGTAATAAACCCGAATGGAGAAGACCACGACCTTTTTTTTTATTTTTTTTTTCAAAATAGTATGGTTCTAAAAAGGCGATTGATGAAATTTTTATTTTTTTTCTGCGTCCGAATAAGAGCGCAATGAATTTTTAAAGTTTTGAAAAACGTCATAGCGTGTACGCCAATCAGAGCGAGAGTTGCAATTAAATGTCACGTTTAGCCATGTTGCCACATTTCTTAGTACCCTTTTTTACTCCCCAAAATGTGCGTTTTTTTGTATATGCGATAAAGATTTTCTGATATATCCATTTTTCTTATTACCTAATGAAAAATTCGATATAATAATAAAAGAATATCATCTTCATTTGCATAAATTGTAACAAATATTAGTGTTAAACACACAAATAATAGCCTTGAAAAATCTATCTATATGTCAATGTCAATTTTATCGATCGTGAGTTGTAATAAAAATGTAAACAATAAACAAGCCGAACAACCGAACATAAATGAGTTTTAAGCCCCGAAATCTATTATTTCAGATTCCAGATGATTTTTATAACTCACATTTATAAAAATCTGACAAATGACAGTTTGATTTTTGTTCGTTTGTGTATTCTTTGTTACTGCGTTCGAAAATTCATACTATTTACTATACAACAAGACGTGAGTGGTTTATGATTGGTTGATAAGGTATGAGTCAAAACCCGAAATTTTTAAATTTCGAAAGGCTACATCTTTTTAATTATAACACATTTTGAGCAACTGAAAACGGTTTTGAGCTCTAATAAATCATTTCTAATCGTATCTTTTGCCGAAATCCGCGTATCTCACATCGTGGTCTTCTCCATTGTTTGTATACAGCAATAATTAGTAGTACTGAACTATGAGCATCATAGACCTATTAACTATGGAAGCGGTTTAGACAAAGAGGTAGTGTTGTCGATGAATGAGAGAGATGCAGCTAGTTTGGGCATATGGCAATGAGAGATTGGACAATGCATTAGCCAATAGTAAGAAAGCAAAAGACCACGTGAGTTACGTTTTCAGATATGCAAGGTAGTTGGGGTAGAGGAGGGTAGCTTATGGTAGAATAGGATTGAGGATTTATTATTTTTTTACTGAGCAAAATGCATTTTTCAGCTGAGCCTAAATTCCCACGCATTTGCAAATACAGTTCTTATTTTGTATTGTTAATTGGAACCTTCTATCTATTAGCCAGTACAGATTTCAGCCAGTAAACAATATTTAAATATTAAGCGTATAAATAATTTAACAGATAAATCCCGTCCATACTTAATAGGTCTATGATGAGCATTCATTTTTAACATACAGATTGTTCCATTTTTGCTTCATTTTTCCAACAATGACAACTTCCATTAGACACTTATAAAAGAAAAAAGAAAGAGTGACATTATGTCATTGCAACTTTTCACTCTGACAACTGTCATTTTAATAACCTTTCTTTGTTCCACTCATAGAAATAACTATATAGCAATCGAAAACGGAGCAAGTTGTATAGCCAACTGTAGTGCAGATTTGAAGTATTTTTATTCGCAGATGTTGGCAGTACTGGTAGCGTTGCTGGCTTCCTTGGCGATATATTTGTATTGGAAGAACCGGAATTTGCCACCTGGACCTTGGGGATTGCCGATATTGGGCTACCTCACCTGGTTAGATCCCCTCAATCCCTATGTAACGCTGACGAAGCTATCGAAAAAGTACGGCAGCGTTTACAGCCTGAGCCTGGGCAACGTATTCACGGTGGTTCTAACGGATCCCAAAATCCTGAAGAGCTTATTTGCAAAGGATTCGACCACTGGAAGGGCGCCTTTGTACCTAACGCACGGGATTATGAGGGGTTATGGTAAGTTTTAAGTTTGCTGTAGAGAGTGTAGGGACCACTGGATATGGACCCCTTTGGTTTGATTCGCTATACATATCTTCTATATTTAAATTTGTGAAAGGCTATAAAAGCCTTTTAAAAGCTGCTTGTCGATCAATGGAGAGGAGTACGATGTGAGATATTGGGTTTTTAGTCAAATATATGAAAAGAATTAACTCATTAGAATCCAAATCAGTTTTCAGTTGCTGAAAATATTTCAAAATATTTCAAAATATTTTCAATTCAATTCTTTAGACTGCAATTTGAAAAGATAAAAGTAGGGTTTTAAAAATACTAATTAAAGTGCTCAAAAAATACTACACTGGATGCACTGGAAATGCCTTATTTCATATTACCTGCCCTTAAAAACGTGCAAATTATCCAAAAATATCTGAAAAACGGAAACTTTTGACACCGCTGTCATTAGTCAAAAATACAAAATTGTTTTGTGATTTGACATTTATGTCAGGAGACATTTAATTAATTTTTTTCAATTTAATACTGCTTGTGGATCAGTATAAACTAGGAGACATCGTTCTGTAATAAATATTCTTTATCCTACTAAAATTATTCATACATCTGGTCGAGGAAACTCGAGTCTTATTAGAATTACATTTTGCTATTTAAATAGCATTGCAAACAAATGGCAGCCCCCCTTTATTTGGCCCCCCTTTATTTTTTAAACGGATCAACTTAGACAATTGAAACTTGGGATAATGAAACTAATGCATGATTACTATATTTTGGGATCTTGGGACGCCATCTTGGGAAATAAATTTAAATGGAAAGGGGGGTCTTGTGATACATCATTTTGAAGCTCCCGACAAATACTGTACAACCCTGGAATATAAAGTCAATATCTGTTCCCATTACAAAATGGCGGAACATTTTATAATTACCTGAATACAAACAAATTAATATCAATTTTTCTACAAATATTTGTTTTTCTATACCAAATAGGAATCCCAACAAACCAATAAGGTTTGACAGGTTATTTTTGGTTAAAAAATCCAAAAAATTTAAGTACGACAACGAACGTTAATTGTTTAGTCAAAATATTCTCATTTAGTTTTTGGTTTTTTTAGTGTTCAAAATATTCTCTTTAATTTCGATTTTACATTTCGACCATTTCTAAAATCTTCTGAACTGAACTCAGCTTATTTCCTCAAATTATGACGTTAAACGTCGATGTATTCAGGTAATTATTAAATGTCCGCCATTTTGTAGCAAGTGCAGATATTGATACTATATATCCAGGGTTGTACATTATTTATCAGGAGCTTCAAAATGATGTATCACAAGACCCCCTTTTCCATTTAAATTTATTTTCCAACATGGCGCCCAGATTACCCTGTACTGGCGCCCTTAATGTGATTGGTTAATGACTTGTGACGTATTACAAATTTTAAAAATCAATTGCGACCTTAATGGGAAACGCAGAAAATTAAAAATTTCACCAACAACTTCATAAAAATACCTAGTTTTATAAAAAATAAATAAAAAAAAACTCCTACTCCTCTCCATCAATCGTCATCGAAAAAAACAACGCGCCGGCCGGCGTGCGATTTTTCATCCGATCGAAAATAGACTGATTAACGAACGAGGTCCGTTCGTAATCGGTAATTGCGTGAGGATGATGAGCCCGAATGCGTACAAACACACACACACACACACACACACGCATTACGTAGTAGTACACCAAACGCGACCATCACCTCTACTCTACTCTACTACTGGCTGATGTAAGTGACGGGTGACTGGCATACTGACCCACTGCGTGTGCCGATGTGCTCGGCCAAAAAAAAAAAAAAAATAATAAATCGTTCGCCAAAAATCCGTGGTCTGCGGTTAGACCGAGCGGCGTTGCCGGACGCGTCGGAATGTCGGCGATCTTGCTACTTAATTCGCTTGATGATAGTTTAATGAAATTTCGTTCGGTGCGAATTTGTATTGATTTGTTTGAGTAAATGAAACTGGAGTTTTTGGAAAAATTACATTAAAACATACATTTTACTGTCATCGTAGTTTGCACAAATTTATTATACAGAAAGAATTTTTATTATCTTACAGAAAGAAAGAATTTATTTATTATCTTCAATTATTATTTACAAAAAAATGCTTTTAATCCAAAGTAAAGTCTAAACACAAATTTTCAAATAAAAAATACAATTTTTACATTATTAATTTATTTGAATTTACTTTGGATTAAAAGCATTTTTTTGTAAGTAATAATGTAAGATAATAAATAAATTCTTTCTTTATGTAAGATAATAAAAATTCTTTCGTTTTTTCTTGAAATTTTTTCTTGTTTCTTAATTTACTAACACCCTTTATGTCTTATCTAATGTTTTGATATGTGAATTTCATTTTCTCGAAAAGTTAATTTTTTATAAAGAATGGCTTTTCGTCGTAAAATTAATAATAACTATTTTTCTTATCTGATCAACTTTATCTAGAGACACACAAAATTTGAATTTAAGTTTGCAAATTTGTATTCAGGCTTTATTTTAGATTATAAACAACTTTCTTTCATAAAAATTTTGTGTAAAATAAAAAATAATGGTACTTCCCTCTTGAGGTATTTTCATGTTTTCTTAATTTGACAACACCCTGTAGATCCAATCTAAGATTTTTACTTGCTAACTTGCTAATTTTTTATTGCTAACAAACACACTAAGTTTAAGCAAAATAAGCGGAGAAATTTTTTAGTAATTTATAAAAAACCGATTATTTCATTAAACATTTAACACCCCGTTACTCGGAAACGAAGCAAATTAGGACACACGTTTACATAAATTTTTCTTCATAAAATATGACAAGGAATAACTCCCTGAAATTAAAGTCATCATTTAAATGACACCCTGTATATTATAATAAGGTGTAAAAATAAAATTGAAAAATTTGATTGCCCGATAATTAATTATAAGTAATTGAAAAAGTAATTAAATTACTTTTATTGTAATTGAGGCGAAAATTAATTATAAGCTCCTCATTTGTAATTCATTTGTAATTCAATTACTCTTTTCGTTACAATTACAAGTACATTTTACAATTACAATCAATTACATTAGACACAAAAGTACTTATTTAATATTTTCAATACGTGGAAAGTTTAATTCCGATTGCAAATCCCTAAATATTTTTTTTTAAACTGACACCAAAGCAAAGTAATTGTGAGTGTAATTGTAATTGCAATTGTAACTTTAATTGTAATTGTAATTACATTCGCAAATTTTGTAATTGTAATTGCAATTAATACCAATTTGCCAACAGTAATTGTAATTGTAATTAATTACATATCATAAAGTAATTTTAACATCACTGGGTATAACGCTCTAAAAACACCGCTATTTCTACACCGCCTCATTCCGACATCGCCCTGTATACACCGACATCCTCTTATGGCATTCACATCGCCGATATATTGGCAAGACTATTAAAAAAGCGTCGAGTTCGTGAATTAAAAAGTATTCTAGGGTATCCACGTGTGGCCTAACAAAAGTGCGTTGTACCTTCCACTCGCACCGCTCGTTTCGTAATTAGTATTGGCGAAAAGAAAAAAAAAAAAAAAAATCACATCACGCACCGTGTGATTCGGCCCGAGGCCGAATTCTAATCTAACTTCACTGTTTTCGAACAGCATCCTGCGAATACCGGTTGCAAAATATCGCCCGGTCTCGTGCGTAACGCAACTCTTTCGTTCGAAGATGGAAATTCGCGGCGTTTTGGGTGATGGAGAAGACTACGATTTTTTTTTTTTTTTTTTTTTTTTTTTTTTTTTTTTTTTTTTCAAAATAGTGTGTCCTAAAAAGGCGATTGATGAGATTTTTATTTTTTTTCTGTGCCCAAATAAACCATATTCCATCTCGTTAGGCGATGACGTCATTTTTAGTAATTTCCACGCATCAGTTCAACAGTTCACTAGTGCGAATGTTAGGTATGATCTTTTTTCCATCTCCGTTTCACCTATGATTAATGTCAAATGAAGTCATGATTGATTCCTGACATAGACCTATTAAGTATGGACGCGGCACAATCGTTATTTTGAGGTTATTCAGCGTTCCCAATGATAGAGAGAGAGGTCCGTGAGAGATGGAGCTAGTTTGGGCTAAAAGTAGGCGGGACCAAAAAATATATAAAATATATACAGGGTGTGTGGAAAAAGGCGAATAATTTGGTAAATTATTTATACGCTTAATATTTAAATATTGTTTTTATCTTGGTATCCACTTGGACAGAAGAATGACCTGGAAGAAACATATTTTTTACAAGAGAAAGCATCTAGGTCTTAAATTGCGAAATCTGTACTGGCTAATAGGTAGGAGGTTCCAAATAACAATACAAAATAAGAACTGTATTTGCAAATGCGTGGAAATTTAGGCTCAGCTGAAAAATGCATTTTGCTCGGTAAAAAAATAATAAATCCTCAACCCTATTCTACCATAATCTACCCTCCTCTACCCCAACTACCTTGCATTTCTGAAAACGTAACTCACGTGGTCTTTTTCTTTCTTACTATTGGCTAATGCATTGTCCAATTTCTCATTGCCATATGTCCAAACTAGCTGCTCTCATTCATCGACAACACTACCTCTTTGTCTAAACCGCGTCCATAGTTAATAGGTCTATGATTCCTGATGGAATTGATTTATGTGAATATAGGAACAAATTGCTGGATGGTTGGAAATGTTGACGTTGATGTTGACATTGACAATTTGAATTTGAATTTTTAAATGTGAGGGAAATTATAAAAAATGGAGGTTTATTTGATTGCAAAAAAATATGTTATATTCATCCGATTCATCATCAGAACCTGAAAGTGAAGAGTCCTCAAATAACAGTGTCAGTGATGAGTTATTGGAACTATTTTTAATAAACAAAGAAATCAATAAAACTCATGCAATAGCAGATTTCGGAATCCATTGCAAATTGCAAAACCAGCAAAACAAATTAAAAAATTGAATGCACGTTGAATGCACAAC